AACATAAAAGAAAAGAAGGATAAATAATATTACTCAAAATGATTTACGAAAGTATATAATTTATTTAATTGTAGAAAAACTTTTATACAATTTAACGATACACTGAAGTCTTATAACGTCAAGTGAAGTTCCTTCGCCTGACTGTGACACAAATACATATACATATATACACATGTCGCAATTCCAAGGAGCGAATGCAATATTTTACAAATTACCATATAAATTACCATTACAATAATCTGTGTGTCCCATAAAATACATAAAATATAATAAACTCTGGAAAAAAAATATTTTAAATAGCTCATAGAAGATAAAAAAAATAGTAGTTACAATTTTAAAAAATCAACAGAACCGATCAAGGTGAGATGATAATCTGCATGATATTGTTTATTGCATTCGCTCCTATCCATATTCAATATGTACAACTAGTTTCGTTAGCGTGATCATAATCTTAGAATCCTGTACATAACCGTTATATACATAAATCAATAATGTCTCCTCATAAATAAATATTCTTTCTTTCTGTCTCTCGGTCAACGCGCTCGAATTTGATGCTAAAGAGTTCCATTCACGGAGAACAGCTATATCAGTAAGTTAAACAATAGGAAAATCTAAAACAGGCTGAAAGAATATCTGAGAAAAAATATCGCTATAATATCTTTCAAATAGCTTTTAGATTTCTACATTGTCTATAAAGAATCTCTGACCAGCGAAGGATTTTAAACGATATCCTTCGAAATTCGTTCTCAATGTTCCATATGTAGCGTTAAATGCTGTCCATTCAATTTGTTTAACGCTGCTAAACTCACATTCCACATTGTTCCATACTGAAAAGCATGCGGCTGCATTTAGCACTGAATGCACGCTGCGAATTCGAATCCGACTCACCGTAAGTGACTCGTGAAATAGCAGAACTCTCGAGTGAACGACACACTAATCTTCACGTGTCACAGATCACAGACACATTTAGGTACTCGATTTGCGGACGACACGAAAATCTCTATGCGATGGACCAATCGTCGTCTCGTGTCTTCACTCCACCCCTTTTTTTCTGCAGTTTTTCTCCCCGCTTAGATCAATTTGCTCCATTTTCCTTCTAGTAATCCCATCTTGAAACATCGAAATCCATTTTTTGACACCTTCCAATTGATTTGATTAATGTCAATAGATCGAGGTTCTTGCTATCATATTTTTCTATCTAATTAATGTCACTCCATCAGGATGAATCAAAATTCATTTTTTATATCTTAAATATAATTTTTAAAATATTGAATATTTTAATTTTCATTTTTAACATTGCCTCAATTTATTGAATCAGTCTAGTTTTCTATTCATGCTGCTTTTCATCTTCAAATGCCGGAAGCAATTCAATTCGATCCTGAAGTCTAAGGCACACGCGTGATTGACGAAGTACTATTCTCAAGCGATTTCGGAAATCGCGAGTGCGTCCTTCAAGCCGCCAGCTGAGGAGGTATCAGCTGTTGAACAGGTCGCGTCAGTCGCGGCGCCAACACCGGCAGTAAACTCACTCTCAGCGGCGTTGGAGTCATCTGGGAGGCGACGATCTGACCGTTCGAGGAAGACGACGTGGAGGACTTGTCCCTGGCGTGACGTTTCACGTGCTTCGCCAGGTGGTCGCTCCTCATAAATCGCCTTTGGCAGACGGCACAGGCGAACTTCTTCTCGCCGGTATGCGTACGCTTGTGCCGCGACAGTTCGTCGCTACGTGAGAAACGACGGTTACAATCCTCGTACGGGCACGGAAATGGCCGCTCGCCGGTGTGGGTGCGGGTGTGAGCCTTCAGGTGTGACGACTTGAAGTAGTTCTTGCCACAGCCCGGGTACTCGCACTCGTAAACGCGGCGCCGTGTCTCCGCCACACCTGTACTCGTCGTCGTGGTCGTGGCGGTGGTGACAGTCGGCGCTGCACTTGCGACTAACAGAAGGGGTGTCCGTGGGAGGACCAAAGGTGAGCCCAACAGGCCAGCTACCACAATGGGTGTGGGTTTGGGCGCCAGGGGTTGCAATTTCGGTAATTGTTGCTGTTGTTGAGGTTGATATTGCTGCTGTTGCTGCTGACAGCTTTCACGATCGGTGTTCTTGCTGTTCACAATGATCTCTTCCTTACGCAAGCTCATTTTGAACTTCAGGCTGCGCAGCACGTTCTCCACCGGTCCCGTTACGTTCGCTCGCACGTTCGCCTGTGGACTGGTTGACTGTCGCGCGGGCGAATCACGTGGTACCGATCGGCCGCAGGTCGCGGGGCAACCAGCGAGATTGGCCGGGCTGCAGGTACCATCTCGATTGGCGTGCATTATTACCGAAACCCGGGCTGGCTCTGGACTTGGCGGCGGCGTACCGTCTAGCAGCAGCTAAAACAATAAAAAGCTTTGTATTCAAGAAGTTCGGAGAAATTATGAAGGCTACATCCCAGACAGCACAGAATATTTATGATAAATATTTATTATTATTTATTTTTTGAAATGTTTATATAAATATTATATTTTATATATATTTTATTC